GCGGGCGGGCGGGCGCCGGCTGACCGCTCCCTCCCACAGTTCTACGACGCGCCCTACGAGTACGAGCTGATGCTCAAGTGCCTGAACGTGGCCTTCACCTCCGTGTTCTCCATGGAGTGCGTGCTGAAGATCATCGCCTTCGGGGCGCTGGTACGTGCTGCCGGGCGCCATGGGGCCCCCCCCGCCCCTGCCCGCTGCCCGCGCCGAGCGCTGGGCTGACGGTGATCTCTGCCCAGAACTACTTCCGAGACGCCTGGAACGTCTTCGACTTCGTCACGGTGCTGGGGAGCATCACCGACATCCTGGTGACGGAGATCGCGGTAAGCAGCGGCCTGCCGGGGGCCACGTGCAGGCTGCTGCCCTGTCACGCCGATGCGGGCCCCTTGGGGCTGAGTAGGTGGTGTCTCGGCAACTGCCGGTGGCGGGGTGGCCGGTGGCCCCGCCTGGCACGCTGACCCGGCCACGGGCTCTGGGCGAGGGCCTCTGCCCCATGGACAGGTGAGCGGAAGGAGGGGTCAGCTGCACACTGCGGGCGTGTGCGTGTGCACGCATGCCCGTGTGTGTGCGCCCAGGGCGGGCTGCTAAACGGCTCGCGGTCGGGCCCTGGCTGGCGGTGGCGGGCCCCGAGCTCTGCCTGGCATGACTCGGTCACCCTGGGGCTCCGGCCGCCTCTGTCCGGGCGCAGGACGATGTCCCGGTGACCCTGATGCCAGGCCCCGGCCTCTGGGAGAGGCACCAGAGTGACCCGAGCAGCTCCGTGGTGGCTGCCTCCGGTTGTGGGTTCTGAGAGCCAGCACTGGGCCGGGGCTCTGGTCAGTGCCTGCTGGCCGGTGTGGGCTTCATGGGGAAGCCGGTCCTGCTGCCTCAGGCATCCCGCTCAGGCTTGCCCTGGCTGCTCTTGGCGAGTGGTTGACCATCACAGGGTCGGCCGGCCAGTCTCCCTCATGGAGCCTGTCCGTCTCCCGGGACCACCAGTGCCCCGGAGCTAGCCCCCGCCTGCCCGTCCCTGGCCACTCCCCGAACC